TCTTCGCAAAAACAAGTACTGCTACTTGAAAGTATACGATAAACTTCACGCTAAAAAGTTTTATTTTTACGCGTCACAATAAGTTACGTTTGTCAGCGATTTTTTCGTTGTTGAAAATCAGTAGCTAACTGCCGATTCTGAGTTAACTACGTACTGTGAATTTGGCCTTAAATCAATCTAATAAATCCAAAAAAAAACAAACAACAACAAACAAAATCGCTGACAAACGTGGCTTATTGTGATGTGTAAAAATACAATTTTTCAGTTTGAAGTTTATCGTATACTTTCAAGTATCAGTACTTGTTTTTGCGAAGTTTATTTAAAATATGTAATTCTTAATGCGTGATTTAGCTTAAATTTCTTCTAATTTATTTAGTTAACTACAGATTTGTGTACTGAAAATCTGTAGCTTACTGCCGACTCTGAGTTAACTACGCACTGTAAATTTGGCCCTTAGTAGCTGAATATTTGTCAGCCAGAATACCAAAAGTTATGGCCATCTGAAATCATTTAATTTTGGACTTTTGGCATACTATAATTGAAAAGCGGCACAGTGTGCGACGCCGTAACGACGCACAGATGAGTATTTGCATAGTAAAACCGGTCAAAATTATTTTATGTGTTTTTCTACACAGTGATTAAATAAAACATGAAATTTAATCATAACTACGAATTTAAAGGATAAAAATTACTAGTTACACTTATCTTAGGATCATTTTCCTGAAATATTTAGTTATATTCAGTTACCATAAGTCCACAAAAAACTTTTTCAGAAATAGACAAGAACGGAATTCGTTTTGCTAGAATATTTAGGTTGTTGTTGTTGTTGGAGCGGCTACAACAACCCCGCCCAGATCGGTTAGTCCCTCAATCGTTGTCGTCAAGCTCTACTAGCGGTAGTCCCAGGAAGCGTGCAGCCTCGATGGGGTCTGCCCATAGGGAAAGGGGCGTCAGTAGGGTGGGGTTCAGTAGGCATGTGAAGAGATGCTGTGAGTCATGGGGCGCCTCTCCGCATGCCGGGCATTCGTTTAGAACAGTGGTTCCCAAACTTTTTTCACCTCGGCACCCTTGTGCTAAAAAAATTTCTCGGCACCCCTACTCTTCAAATGTCTACGAAAACAAGACAACAATGCAAACTTGGATCATGAATAGATTAACGATAACCTTAAATTCTTAGATAGAATTGAAATCGGTTTTGTTTTTTTATATCTTAAAAATTTTAACGAATTTTCATTTGGTATTATCACGCCCATTCAATGAAGAATAGCGCTATTGTGAATTTCGTTCGGTTAGGTTGTTTACAATAGTACATTTTTCACCGCTGAGAAGTTTTGTTTACAAATCGAGCAAATTAAATAGAGTAGTGTATGTAAATATGTGCAAATTAAAATGAAAGCGAGTTTATAAAAACGTGGTAAAAATTAGGACACCGGAGTTCTGGTTCACCGATTCGTCAGAGGATGAGAGCTTGGTAAACTGGCCAGGAGTGGAAAATGTTTAAGAGGGTTTAAGTGACATAAAATATATTTAAGAAATTTGTCTATAGATTTATTAAAAACTTCCGACTGTCTAAAGAGGCGTTTCTGAGCCAAATCTATTTAAAATATTTAAAATTTTAAACAGCTTACGATTTGGTTCTAGAGATCGGGCCAACTGAGTATTGGGATTTTTTTTTCGAGCTTGTGTTTAATATTCACAACTGCATGAAATTAATAAAAATTGTTTAAAATTACTGTCTAGCCGCCATAAAGTAAAAAAACAAATGCAAAATCATAAATTTTTCACAATTTTCTAACAATTCGTCGATGGTGTACATCGAATGCAAAATCCTGTTCGACAGAAAATTCGATACTCAACGAAAATTTCGACACGGTTGCATAGCTCATAATTTCACTTTCGATGTTCGATCTTCGATAACCAGCGAAGATCGAAATTCGAATGCAACTCATAATAAGGGCCTAAAAATGACTAGTATTTTTAATGCAATCTTGCCAACAGCAGTGTTTTCTGCATACACTTGCATCCAGAACTCTCTTCGTAGTATTTAATATTCAAAGTGCTGTCTTCACTGAAGTCCATAAGGTTTTCAAAAGCTTAATTGGTAATCTCAGTAGGTTTACTTTTCAGGAAACGGGTTTGTTATCCAGCTGAAGCCATCCTCAGAGTCAATGTTGGGAAAATATTCGACAATGGTTTTTTCTAAACCTTCCAAGTTAACGCTGGTAATGCGCGTTGACGCTAAGAAAATAATTTTTACAGCCAATTTCACGAAAGCAATTTAAGTGATAAATGATTTTAATTTTTTGAAATTTATATGCAAATTGCGAGTGAAACCAGCTGTTATCAATTTGCTTAGCGTTAACTTCGAAGCTATATACGTTTTTCTGATTACTTTGTTTATTTATGGGGTTTTCATGCAAATTGCTAGAAATACTAAAATATACATGTCACCAATAAAAAAAAATCTCGACGTGCTAGGAAAAACCAGAGTTGTATTTTAATTTCGCAGGCCTCTGTTATCTTCGCAGCGTGATCCAATGCGGGTTTTAAATCTAGTGGCGGCATCTTCCTAGTCGCCAGGGAATACCGAGGGATCATGCAGTGACTTCTCGTGGCGTTTTGTGCCTCTTGCTTCATCCTAGACATCGCTCCTTTCGTTGTTCCAACCACCGCAAATATCCGCACACTTTCTCCATTTCAAACTATTGTTCTGTACAAATTTGTCCATAGCTTTAAAAATTTCGTCGCTAGTGGCGTAAGTCTGAAGTACATCGTTCTTCTTCGATTTGCATTGCGAATGGGTACCTCTCCAACACGAGAAGACGCCTCTAAAATCGTGTTGATTCGCTCTTTGACAGTGTGATTGTGAAGTTCCAAAGAATAAGTAATAAATACACGTTCGCGAAGCTGCTGCACTTGTTACGAAAACAGCCCAGCCAGCAAAAAATCTGATAATTAATCCGAAAACGGGAAGAAAGGTGGATGAAACGCGGATTAGGTCTACAAAAGTACCGAAAGTGGTTGTGAAAAGGGTACGTTTTCGGCTATTTTTCTGAAAATTTTCTGATTCAATTTTACGTTGACAAAACGTACTGGAGAACTACGCTTAAGAGCGAAATATCCCTTTGCTGCAAGCTATTTGTGTTGGGTATGTGGTTTGAGGAGCCGCTGAAGGTAATTTTAATAAAAATCTAAATTTTTTGATTTACTGTCCGCCATGTTGAAGTTTGATCAAACTGCTTGCGTTGTGTATGGAAAGTCTAAAGAATTTGTCCGCACCACTAGTATACTCTAGCCATTAGCGGCACCCCAGGGTGCCGCGTCACCCACTCTGGAAAGGCCGGGTTTAGAACATGTTTATTTATTCTGCTCAGGTATGAGTTCAACCTGCTGCATATTTAGGTCTACGAGTTCGGATATCCACTTCGTCCTTTTAGACCGGCTCTTGATTGTGAATAACTGCCAATTGTGCAAAACTTTTCGTTACTAAAGTTTGGATGCTTTTTCAATTTCAATTAAATAAATAACTTAAAAATAAAAAAGGGAATGTGGAAAATTGTTCTAAGGACACAATCGTTCTCGCCGAAGCCGATTAGAGAGCATTATCCCAGCAAATATCGAGGTTAGTTATCGATTAGAGAATGATTGGAGAACTAGCCACATTCTCCAATCTCAAACGTTAGACAACGACTCGAAAAACTATCGAGAATCATAGCGATCTCAACAAAAATTGGACATAGTTCTCGACTCGAGAAAATATTAATATTCTAATCGAATTCTAATGCTGATCTCTAATGGGATTCGAATGTGAATTTAAAACTGCTGTTTTGCTTTATTAAATAAAACGCATTGTTTTCAAAATTTGTATTAAATGTATTCGCAATAAAATAATAATGGATTATTTGAACTTAAAAATACTTTATAATTCATTCATTTGGAATATTGCTTATTTACATTTATTTGAATTTGCGTTGTTTCTTTAATCGTTCTCGAATCGAATTCTAATTTAGTTCCCTAACTTCGTCATCGAATCGACAACGATTAGAGAATTACCCTAGTTATGCAGAAATCCAAATTTTTCTAACGTTAGAGACTGTGTTTGCTGGGATTGTCCAGTTTCATAGTCCTTCAAAGGATCTCCCGAGACTTTTTAAATTAAAGGGTATACAACTCAGTAAATTTGGGTACCCAGCTTCGATGAAATTAAAGGTCAGACTTATACTTGTTAACAATGCGACTCTCCTTATAACTATACATAAAACATTTATGTAAATAAAAGCCAAAATTACAATTTTAGGTCTCATCCTGTTTCGTCCTTCGAAAATCAAAATGGAGCATATGCGGGCAAATTATTTCTGCTTTAATTGCTCAAAGATAACTGTAGTTACATATACTTCAAGGAACCAAACCTTGACGAACATTAACAAGTAAACAAAAATACCAACATTTAAAAATATTATTCCACAAAAATATCAAAATAGACCGATATAAATATTCTAAACGAAGGCCATATTAAAAGACATTTACTTAAATTTAGTCTTAAATGATAGAAATGACCTTCTTCTTCCATGTCCAAAAGCAGTTTTCTTAAAACAGGTCTTCACTAAACCACAATTACTGAAGAAACAAGTATAACGACTGAAAGCGTGGTGAAAAAAAAACTATCACAACCTTGACTGTTTTCAGGTTGACATATGTGCTATAGCACAAGTGTAAGCGCCCAAATATTTTATATATTAATATATTGTTGTAAAAACTAACTGCAAAATAAAATTTTTTATTTTTATATAAAAGCGTACACTTGTATGTAAGTTTTGTTCTTTGAATTTCTTTTTAATTGAAATAAAAGAAGTTTACGCTTCCTGTGCTCTTTATAATTTTTTCCCAAAATCAGCACTGATATGCATACTTTGTATTATGCAAACCAAAGCAAAATTTAAAATAATACCAAGCACTTTAGGCTTCATTACGCTATGTGAATAAAAAAACAAGGAACTTACCTATAATAGTCATTCTTGCAGTAAATGTTTCCATCCCGCGAATAACACGATGATTCTCGATCTAACGGTTGCCGACATGCATAGCATTGTAAGCAATTAATATGCCACCGTTTATCAACTGCAGAGAGATAGAAACGATCCTGTGATGAAACAAAGACCCCGGTATATGTTATTATTACATTAGCTTATCGTAATTAATAAAATTTAGGAGATAAGTTTCAATAAGATGCATATACATATGTAGATGGCTTAGAGTGAAAAGTTGCTAACTCCACTTTTACAAATTTTACAGGAGAGGAAAAATGTCTCTGACAGCAATTTTTTCAAGTACATTGCAAAACAGTAAACATTTTTTATGTCTAAAGTAAAGAAAAACTCCATAAGAATTAGATTGAATTAAAATTTACTTATTAAAAAATAAAACATTCTTTATGCCAGGAATTTGTCACCAGAGACAAAAGTGTTCAATAACAATACGCAAGAAACCCCAAAGAGAAGTTTCGAGTATATTTTAGTAAACTAATAAACATCCAATCCTTCCGGATCAAAGTTTTTCAATATACTTGAAGAAATTAGCTTCATTTCTTATTATAATTTGGCTTTATAGAATTTCCTGTGCCTCTTTTGGACTAAAATTTTTTTTTTGTTTTGTCTGGCAAAATTTTTTTTAGTTTCACTTTTATTTCAACATATTTTGATTAAAAGAAAAATACTGATAAAAATAAAATTTTTCTTAAAAAGAGGGTTGAAATCTTGGAATTCCTGCCCGTAGTTTGTTTCTAAGTCAAATATGAGTGGCATTGTGCTAATATGATAGCTGAACGTATCGGCAACGGAAAAAATATTTCTCCTGAATAACAGTTATCAGGCAACGTAAAAAATAAACGTTGGGTTATAACTCTTATCGACAAAATAAAAAATATTTCTCATCTAATAACTGTTATGGAGCAACGTTTTTGCTATAAAACTTATAACTGTTATGTCCCTGATTTTAAATATTTTTCGTTAAGTTTTGATTTAAATACTAATGCTCCATAAACAATTTAAATGCAAATTCCTAACTGTGCTACAAATTTGATAGAACTCTAAAAACTGTCTTCAAATTTAAAACTTTTTAATCAGAGATTTTTTATTATAAATATTTCGAGTATTCTGCTTTGTAGCCCATCAAATTTTAGTGTAGTAAAGTGTAATCTTGCATCTTAAACGAAAATATTTAAATAGGAAATTACCTTCAAGAGCGTGTGTAAAAAGAGTTACATTAAACCAGCGCGATTAATTATACTAAAATTTAATGGCTTATAGAACTGCTTACTTATAAACTCTGATTTAAAATATTGAAGTTTTTATAACAGTTTCTAGAATTCTACTAAATTACCAACACAGTTAGAAACGTGAATTTATTTGTTTATGTTATAATACTTATGAGCCATCCTTAAATAAAAAATTTACGAAAAATATTTAGCATGAATATCATTGTGAATATTTAAGATTCTATATGTTCTTATTAGATGCAGGGGAGTCTATGTATTACATTTCAATACACTTAATACAATTTAACGCTGAGTTATCACAAATAAGCATTCAATATATCACCGTTCTTCTCATTTTTTGACACAATTTAGTTTAGATTTTTGAATTATAAGTATCCCAGAAATACCCATTATACCTAACAAATATAAATTATTTTTAAGAATAACAGTTTTTGAAAATGAAGGAATAATTGACACTTTATGTTCCTAATTTTAAAGCAGAGTTTACCCCAAAAAGTAAAGTAGTGCAAATCAAATAGCTCTTTAAACATAAAATGAAGTACGTATTTTTTATTTACAAAATTGTATGCGTGCTTATTTAAAAAAAAAGCTCAAAACTAACCTAATTATTTCTAGTTCGGAGGTAACTCTTTTTGAACTATCTAGGAACTGTTGTTATATGAACTGTCTCAGAGCCATCTAAGCCAGAGTCAGCTCAGAACAAGTTCAAAAGTTCTGCAGAGGGCGACAATTGTCACTTCGTAGGACATCGCCATGTTAAAAAAGAAGAAGAAGTTGAAAGCATTGAGTTGAGATAGATGAAGAATCAGTACCGTCCCTTTTCAGGCTAGCTCAGCTCAAGTTCTGAATCAGTTTGATTTGCTGCAGGGTAGAGTAAATGCAAGGAGTACTTACTGAATTTAATGCGGCAAATATACTTGCGCTGGCCTTTAATATGTATGTATACGCTTTCAGTGTGAATGCTATGATTTCGTCACTCGCGTGCACTGCCGTGCGCTGTGATATCGGGGCGGGATATTTGTTATTCTGATTAAGTACAGGCGCAGGTACCAAATATCGCCGTTTAAACTTTCTCTAACATCTAAATCGGTTACCGAGATACACATATCTGGTCATAAGGGCGCCACGCCCACTATCCAAAAATGTATAATAATATAATTTTCTGCTAAGTGGTTATTGCAATCATCGATTTTAGGGGAATTAGCTTTAATAGTTACTGATTTATCGCAGTTTTCGTTTTTCTGTAAATTACCGTTATATGGTAAGTGGGCGTGGTCATTACCCGATTTTAAAGATTTTCAACAAATTTCTCAGTTAAATCCTATGCAATACTCGTACCGAGTTTGGTAAGGATTGGTGAAGCGGCTACTGAGATATAGCATTTCATCACAAGTGGGAGGGGTCACGCCCATTTTTCAACTAATTCAAATAATATTAATTTTTACCAAAATTCTATTTCACAGATTAATTTTCAACAATTTGCATCCAATATTTACTGAAGTATCGTAGTTCTTGCATCTTTCGAAAATACCTTTATATCGCAAGTGGGCGTGGTTACAGTCCGATTTCGCCTATTTTGAATACCAACTTACCTTGGATAAAGGAAAACTTACATATCAAATTTCGTTGAGCTGTCAATTTTTGCTTGAGTTATCGTTTACACGGACGGGCAGATGGACAGACAGACATGGTTTAATCGACTTCTCTATTCATTCTGAACATTTATGTATACATTTGTCTATATCTATCTCGATTCGTTTTGGCTGTTACAAATAACCGTTATGTGAACAAAGTTTATATACCCTTGTGCACAAGTGCGTTCCGGTATAAAGAAGCGAGTGCAGCACCGTACTCGTGATAGAAGTGAAACTTCTTAAAAAACACATGTGTGCAGCGCAGAGAATGAGACGAATACAGTTGCTTATTGTATCTAATGTTGGTACCAAGTTCCTGCGTTTTTATCATTTTTCACATTTAATCTTTTTTTGTTTTTTTTTCGTTTGTTTTTATACGAAGGATATTATCATCCTATTTGGCTTTATTCTGCATTCGAAAAATTATATGGTTCAATGGAATTGAATTTTGTGTTAAATATTTGAATAAATCATTCAAATTTAGAAATTTATCTAAGAAAAATAAAACATTTACACCCAAATTCATAAAAATAAATAGAAAATTTTTATGAAAATTTAACTTTATAGAGCTCTTTAAATCTATTTTATTTTTTTATGAATAGGGCCGTTAGATTTTGGTGTGGATTTTCCTTGATTTTTAATTTGCTATCCCAAAATAATTGAATTCAAATAAAACACCTCTTTGGGGTAAATATTTCGAGTGACGAAAGCTGAACTAAAAACACAAAATTTATGATATCAATTTCGTGATGAAAACTATATAATATTTTTAACTGCCCTGGAAACTGACGCAAAATAGTTTTATTTATTCGGAAAGTTGCAATGTTCTGTCTTCTCTTAGAAACACAAAATAAAAAAATAAAAACTTTAACAACGATTCGTATGAATAAAACTATATTGCGTCAGTTTGCAGGGCAGTTAACCCTCCGATGAGTGACAGTGCCGATGACGTTAGATTCGTGAGAAGGTCCTTAGGGACCTACAAAGAGTTGCTCGATGTTTCGACTGTACATGTGCAACTTCTTTGGTATTTATGTTGTCTTTTGATTAAATTAACGTCCTGCATATATATTAGGAATGAAATAATTTGAAGAACAAGTGAAAAAAAAATCAAAACATGAAGACAAGTAACTTGTTATTTCTTCTAAAATTGTACAAGGTCCCTAGGGACCTTGTCACTAATCCCCGTACTATATATGTTGAAATCTCAATAACACTCGAACGTGATCCCGTATCCCTTCGAAACTTATTTTAAACGATTCAGCTTAATTTATTCTTGGAATACATGTATAAATTCTTTTCAAAAATGCATTGAACAAAAAGATATAGGCACATGAAATACGAAAAGGTCCCTAGGGACCTTCTCACAAATCGAAGGGTTAAAAATGTGTATAATTTTCGGCACGAAATTGATATCATAAATTTTGTGTTTCTAGTTCTGCTTTCGTCACTCGAAATATTTACCTGAAAGAGCTGTTTTATTTGGTATCTTTATCGCCAAAAACGAACCAGTAAGACAGTAACTAAATCTCCACTAGGTCGGAAACCGCGAAATGTGGTACTTTTAAAAAACTATTTTATTTAAGTTTTTCAAATTTATATTTTGATGCAAGAAGCAAGAACAATTAGAAATGTATAGCTTTCTAAACGATCGAACTTCATATTTTATTTGGCTCCGTGAATTATGGATTAAGACCGCGATTCAAAAATTAAATTAGGCCGCGCGGGCATAATTCATTTTGCCAAGTGAAGTTAGGCCTCAATCAAAAAATTAAACTCCATCCCCCATTTTATTTCTAACTGTTTATATTCAGTGATACACAAAATGCTAGGTCCAAAATAGTAACAGAAAATGTGATAAGTCCCAAAAAATAAAAAGTCTTCATTAATCTACGGTGGAGTGCAATAAGGCCCGCTGAAATAACGCCCATGGACTTTATTTCTCAAAAAATAGAAATAAAGCCACTGGGCGTTATTTCAATTTCGAAGGGGAAATAGCTCCCACCAATAAAAGGCAATGAAGCCAGTGGGCTTTATTTCCTTTGCGAAAGAGCAATAATGGACGCCGGCTTTATTTCCCAAAGAAAAGCAAATACAGCCCGCTTGATTTATTTCATAAAAAAGGAAATAAAGCCCGTGAGTAGTATTTTCTCTGGCTTTATTTTACTGAAACATTCAAGTTATGTATACAGGCATAAATTTGCATAAAATGCAACGTATTTTAAAAGAATT